AACATTCAGCATCTGGCGACTGAATGATCTTCATGACCTGACACGGTGTGTGTCCTTGTTCTTATTTGGAGAAGTTCACAAAGACCTCTGGAAGACGGAACAAGGTACTGTCATAGGGTTGCTCAACGCTAACCCCATGAAGCCCAAGGATGGCTCAGAGGAGGTAAGAGTCTGTTTCTGTGATTTAAGTGATGTTTTTACATTAGCTGAATTTTATCAAAAACATTTATGTTAGTCTACCTCCAGAAAATAATTCATGCTTTTACATTATTATGCCTTCATTTATCTAGCATTTCATTTGTTTCTTCATTCATCCTCACCAATATTCTGAATTTCCACCTGCTCTAAAGTGTTTTGTAACAACTACTTTTGATATGTTTTTTCAAATTAGTTCCAAAGTTCCTGAAATTTTTTTTTAACTCCTATGCTCCTATTTCCTTAGATTCCTTAACATAATTTTTTATGGTGGCATCAAGAAAGCAGTGTTTTATAGTTCAGAGAGTTTTCCTCCATTAATTATTAAGCATAACTGCAATTTAAAATCGAAGTGAATTTTCATCTTCTCAAGCAATAGTAAGAGTTTTGGTACCACACACTGCTTCTCTAGTAAACTGCAAATCTAGACACAGTGTGAATAGCAATAGGCATTTCACTGCTCTGACCCAGGAAGAGGCTTCATTCTATTGTAATCAGAGTGTTATTTTACCAGGAAAGCAAAGCTTCCCTATTGTCTCCTACTTAAGTCTAATTAAGTCCAATGGGCTAAACAGTCACATAACCATTGCTAATTCTAAGGATTGCTGGGCAAACAAGGAGCAAGATCATTTCCTGAGACTGAGCACTTGGCCAGCACAGACAGAATCAGGATTCTGATAGTGAGGATGGGTGCTGGGCAGAGAATTGAATGTGTCTGCACGCCTATTTGTAAACTGACTTCAGTTTTTGGAAGTGCACTGGTAGAGCACTGGCTTCAAATTCCATTAAGACAAGAAGCCTTCTTAAATCAGCACCAGCCATTCTTTTATCCATTCTTGCTAGTAAAAGGCCATCACTTTGCCTTTAACTCCTGCCTACCTCTTTTTCATAGGTGTGCTTATCTATTGATCATCCCCAGAAGGTCTTAATTATGGGTGAAGCTCTTGATCTTGGGACCTGTAAAGCAAAGAAGAAGAATGGAGACCCTTGTACACAGATTGTTAATTTGGTTGGTGTCAACCTCTTTTAGAGGGTTTCTGTTAAAGAAAAGAACTATTGGGAATAAACTATAGGTACTTTAGCTGTAATGACCAATTTGGAACCGAGGAGTTTCCTGCTTAACAGGAAGAGTCAGGCTGTGAAAATTGAATGTGTAGTTAGTAATTGCTGGTTTTAAAAGTTCAGGGCAGGGATATGGAACCAGTTTGGAAAGTGAAAACCTCTTTGAAAAGTGATCTGTTATTGCTGGCCAGGAGGAATAAGAGAAAAATAAGCATTTAGTATGCTCTCAATTCCTTGTAGTTCCAAAGATCAAACACTAATGATGAAATGTACCAAAAATCTCATTTTAGTCTATATTTTTGACTCCATTAAACCCTTTCTTAGAGCTTCATTGAGATATAATTCACATATGACACAATTTACCCTTTTAAAGTGTATAATTCAGTAATTTTTAGTATATTCACAGAATTAGCTGTACGCTCATCATCACCACTGCATCAAAGCCTTTTCACCACTGCAAAACGAAACCTGTACCCGTTAATAATCACACCCCAATCTCTCCTCCCCTCCCTTGCCCCTGGTAAGCGCGAATCTATATTCTGTCGCTGTGGATTGGCCTGTTTGAGACATTTCATGTAACAGAATCACTATCTGTGACCTTTTGTGATTGGCTTCTTTCATTGAGCATAATGTTCTTGAGATTCATCCATGTTGTAGCTTTATCAATATTCCCTTTTACAGCTCAGTACTACTATTCTATTGTATGGATATACCACATTTTGTTTATTCATTCATTGGTTGATAGGTATTTAGGTTGTTTACACACTTGGCTATAGTGAATAATGCTGTTATAATATTCACAAACAAGTTTACTTTTAGTTTTGTTTTATCATTTGTGGGGGGTTTTTCTCCTCCAAATTCCTGGTTTGATAAGGACTTATTTTGAGGAAAAAAGATCCCCAAACATCAGGCTGTTCACAGAAATAACCCTTTTGCGGAAGAAAGGGACCGCATCTGTTCACCTTGTCCCTGGCCCGGCCCTAACCCTGATGCAGCTGCTCTCCCTTCTTGCAGCGAGACTGTGAGTACTGTCAGTATCACATCCAGGCTCAGTACCGGAAGCTCAGTGCACGTCGAGCTGACCTGCAGTCCACCTTCTCTGGAGGAC